GGAGAATTACTTATGAGATCTTGGAAGTGAAACGGTTAAAGAAAAACAAAACAAAAAGGAAAACGCTGACAGGAAACAGGCTAAGAAACAGCCAATGAATTTTCTACAGATTTTTATGAACCAGATTTGGACTTCCGATGGTATTGTAGTCATATATTAATCACAGAGAAATAATTTAGTATTGTTGGAAGAAAATTTTAACTAAGCAAAGTCCGCGCAGTTTGAATTCAAATAGAAAATGAAGAGTTTTTTTTCTAAGAATTTTTGTTTTGAAGTCTGGAAAGAATGTGTGTTTTTTTGTTTCTCTTTTTTTGTAGTAATAGAAAATTCTTCATTTTTGCAGCCGAGATGAAAAGTTGACGTAAAGCTGTTTGAAATGAGGGGAAAATTTGTTATCGGCAGACTCATATCTCTCGCCTTGTCAAAATAGCTATTGAACCTAACACCCAATTTACAGCTGTATTTAACAAAGGGTCATAATGGAGTTAAGGCTTTTACGGCGAACTGTTCACTTCTTTCTGCTACGGTTAGCAGAGATATTAAGAATTAATTTTAATCATTTTGAAAAGTTAATAATCATCGTTGTAAAACATCTTTACTCGCTCGCTTTTACCTTTAGAGTCAAGCAACAGAGTAATTTTGTGTTTTTTGTACAATGGCCACAAGACGAGACATATGAAAGTCTAAGATTTTGACACATTTAAAATTACACATCGTAAATTGGAAAAAATTTTACGTATAACCTTTTTTACGCCAACGCTTAAAATTTGTCAATTTCTACGCCAAAAGATTAAATCTTTGGGTCGTTTTATGGCTTACTTGTAACTTCATTGAGATTTCGCTTCTTTCTTTTTATTACATGAATTAATGCAAGAGAATATGATATAAACTGGACAATATTTTTGAGTTAGGATTGTTATGTTTTTTGTCATGCGTTTTTTTGCTCGAAAACGAAGACTCTGTTGAGACTTGTTTTATTGAATTCCCTTTAAAAGCCCAGATTTTGTGTGTGAAGAAGTGATTGTTGAACAGAAAGAAGTCATTCGACCTTAACTCCTTATAAAGTAGTTGCCAACTGGGTTTTCAATCGGTGTTCAAGCGACATCTGAATAATGGAGCGCACCAACTCCCAACATAAGTGATAATAACTTCGAAATTGGACACTACATTGGGAAACCACAATGTGGACGTCCGGGTAAACTCGTGAATAAAAATAGTTGGTGCGCACTTTCCACGAATTAATCTCAATATCTCAGCGAACACCCTGATCTTCCCTCTCGGTTCATTGTATTCTCTTGCCAATAGTCAACCCTCTCCTACACTTTGGGAGTTTGATAGTTTAATTTCGAGGAGGAAAGGTTCCACACTTTGGGCTTAAACATTTGACGCGGAACATTTTCCCTCGGTCTGAGTTAGGTCTTTCTTTTATCGTGTGAGCAATAGAACCCTGTTTACACTCCCCATGGGAACGAAAAACATTTCGAGTTTGCTGGGGTCTAAGCTATAAGGGTTGGTACTGAATTTCAATTTTCTGTTAATGAGTAACAAGGAATCGTGTTTTTACCATTCTTGCCGAAAACAAAAATTGATTTTGATACATTTAGTTTGTTTTTTAAGAGTCATTTGATAGGAAAATTTAGTTTGGGTAGTTTAGCTAGATGCACTACAATTTAATAAATGTTATCAGCTTTGAATCAATCAGTTATGTCAGCTGAAAATAGACGACTGAATAAACGAAGTCAAATCCAGAGCAAATCGTATTTTGTTCGAGTTAGCGGGTAGTTCGAGCTAAGTGACTTTGAGTTGGCGGGTCTCTGCTGTGCGCATAAAACCATTTATTCATTCTGATTGACTGACAGGAATGCGGGTCTAACGACAAACATTTTAAGAAGAGAAGTAATACAGTGCATCTCATACCTGATTCATTGATAAAAATGTGACAAACTTTAAAGCAGGGCTTTGAACCTTTTTACGATTTAAAAAACTTTAAAAAAAGTAACTTTTGTCACTGAGCTCGTAATGACAGAATTTGAATGAATTATTTTTGGCGCGATTACCGCGCTTTGCATAATTATGAATTTTGCATAATTATGAAAAACGCCTCTTTCATTTTTCTCACATACATTTTTAATTAACTTATGAAACGATTTTTGGATCAATATCAGTATCTGGGCAACTGCCCACCTACCCCTCCCCTAACCCAAAGTTAACCTTAACTTGTTTTCAATTGACTGTTGTTGAATTAAGGGAGGGGTAGGTGGGCAGTTGCCCAGATACTGATATTGATCCCGATTTTTTTCGTATAACTTGGAGTGAAAAAGCGCTCGTTAATCTTTTCAAAGATTACAAACTGCGATTTTGTTGGTCGTTGAAAAAAAATAGTCGTGCTTAATTATTCCAAATTGCATTCAAAATCACCAGATTAGCTGAACTAAACTAATGAATATTTGTTGTTAGAAACTAGGTGCAATTGTCTGTACAAAGTGCGTATGCAAATAAAGCTTTATTTTTTTTTAGAAATAAGCCTTGGCTGTGCTTTGTTCTGTTGCAAAGCATTCACTAGAGTTACTAGAGCACTCAAGCAGTTGGGGGAACGTGAGACGTGGTCGAAGAACTGGTTTTCGTTTTCGTCTTACAGGTAAAGCAAGACTTGTGGTTAAAAAAAAAAGGGGAACCGGCAGATACATTCCAAGAAATGGTCGGTCATTGATCAAATCGTTCGATGGCGTGACACTGTTACTCTGTGCGACCCAACTGTACTTTGATAAAGCATGCACTTTGTTAGCCAATCAGAACGCGATCAGTAAATAATTCATTTTCGCGCGCGAAGTTCGATTGTAATTTTAAAGTAATTATCCGCCCAAGAAGTAGGCACTTTTGATCCAAAGCTGTCACACACTGAATGTCGTTACAATGGATAATGAGGAACTGGCTCTAATCCCCGCTATATTGGATTGCTATTTTTCTCCGAAGTTTTGGCGGTCAAGGAATTTTCTCGCCAGTACAAGTTCTCCCCAGGAAAAAATAAAGAAGTAAGCTGGTAAGCATAAACCTCTTGAATAAACTTTTTTAAAAGGTTTTTTTTTTAATTACAACTTCTTTCAGCCAAAGCAATTTATTGTAAGACAAATTTAATCATGCAAATCACAGATTCGTGACAATACAACCAAAAGATATAAACTACCTGGCGTTTTACAGCTATTAAATGTTCTTGCCAATTTTCATCTTCTAAAACAGCGTTCTACCAGAAAAATATAGAATTAGCCGATTCTTTGGCCTTTCTGATTGCCGTAAGAAGAATGTTTAGCGTACATTTGAATAAATTTTGGGGTTAATCAGTAGTTTTGGCGGGTGTTTTGGTCAAAGGTCTGACAAAAAGTTGAGAGTTAGTTGCCAATGTTTTGCATTGAACACCGTGGCTATAGCATTCAACCTGAAATCTCATTTAGGAAATTTGTCGTCGGCTGGAACTTTTTAAACGATTGAAAATAAGCAATGAAGGTCTCGTTGCATGACACATCTAAACAATAGCAAAGACAAACTAAATTCTTAATTAGGACTTCGAGTCGAATTTTGCAATTCGCTTTTGGGGATGATTTCTAGTTGAGTTTTCGAATTAGATTTTCATCAGGAGTTGAGGTTCGTGTGGAAAAAAAATTTCTGCGTCCCTCATGTTGGAGGTCGGTGCACTCTGTTATCAAACAGACGCTTGAACTGTGATTGAAAACCGATAGTTGGCGACTACTGCATAAGGAATTCATTTAAAGTTACGAACTCGAGCTTATACTGTGAGCTACGAGGAACAGATAATGTCCCAGAAAAAAACATATACATATGAGCGTTTTTTCCCGACAGACGGAGGCTATTGTTATTGTGTTTATTATCCTTTAAGTGTTTTTGCGACCCGAAGGAAAACTGTTTACGAACAGCTCGCTGTATGCTGCGTGCGTTGGATGTTTCTTTTTAAGTGTTCTCTGGTGCAACTTAATGAACAAACAAACGCTCTCTCGTCTCGAATTGAAGGAGCACCTTTATCTTAGTGGACACCGGGGTTGAAAATTGGAGAATATTACTTGGGGTATATCCTTGGATACGCCCCAGTTTTAGCTAGGGCATATTCGACCACGTGATGCGTTCAGACCAGGCGCGCGCGAGAAAAAGTAACAAGTAATGATTATTCACCTCAGTGTCGGTGAATAGTGGCGGATATTTCGCGGCGAGGTATCTACTCACTACTTTCACCGACACTGAGATAAATAATTGTTTTAGCATTTACCAAATAGTTGCCCAAATAATTTATATATTTCTGTCAACAAGCTAAAAAGAGGTTGGAAATTTAATTTAGTTGACGCCCTATTTTGACAGTCTCTTGAACACGCAGGAATGAATAGTACTTGCAAGTTACTTCCAAACCAGCAAATCAGCGCACGCAAAAAGTATTATTCACCCGTGTGGTATACTCCAATAGTGGATATTTACCGAGCTACGAGGTAGCGCGGCAATACTATCCACCACTTTTACCAAAACTGCGCTAAATGATCATTTTCCTAAATACCCCACAGAAACCAAAAAACTACTAATAATTTCTGTTAATATACAAAGAAATTATCGAAATTTAACTCCCGAAGCGTGATTTTGTCTCTTCGGCTGCTCGTTGGTGAGCAATATATGATTTTCAGTGGGAGCAAAGGTGGGGGGAGGGGGACAGTCGTCGCTAACAGAGTAGAAAGGGCTATTTTAGAAAATCGGCTCCCAATGAGCTGCCAATGAGGGAAATCATGAACATAATCCAGCCCTTATGGGAAGTATAGGGTTAATTTTATCGTGAAAAAACCGAAAAAAATAAAGGAAAAGAAAAAAAACTCCAACCTTCCCCCACCTCACCCCCCCACCTTGAATTGATCATGTTTTGTCGTTGTTTAGAACTATGGCAACAAATGGTCTCCTCCACCAATGACTCTTCTGAGAAAGTTGGTTTTGTCTCTCACCTTTTATTGCGATGGATGAACGATGTAATGGTGACAGGCAGTCAACGAGCCCTAGAGGAAGGAGATTTTGTAGCACTCTCAAACGAGAACGCCACGCGGTCAGTCACAGATCGTCTTGAGAGGAAATGGAAAGAAGAAATAACTAATTCCACAAGAAAGGAGGAAAGGCCGAAGCTGTGGAAAAGTGTGATGAAGACGCTTACCTTGGGGGAGCTTAGCTATGTTGTTCCATCAGGCATCCTGTACGGCATTGGCTCTCTCGTCACACCATTGCTCATTGGATATCTAATTTTCATGCTAATGTCAACTGAAACGCATAAGAATCACATCCTTCACGGTAGTGCGTTAGCAGCCGCCATCGCTATAAACACATTGGTCGGCAGCATCGCCATGCAACATCAGGCTTACGCGTGTGAAATATTGGGCATCAGACTGAGTAACGCGATAAAAGGTCTCGTTTACAGAAAGGTGAGCACAGGTCGGGTAGTCTTCTTAAAAATGGGTGCGGTGCATAAGTGGGGACGAAAGAGGTCCTCGCTATGAAGAGGACTGGGAATGAGTCTGGGTTATGTTGGGGAGAGTGTGCAATCTTACTCCCTCTATTTTTTCTTCACCTTTGATAAAATATTTTTCTGACCCTAACATTTGTTACAAGTGAGAGAAATTTTCAAACGAGTGTCTAAGTAAGTTATCTTGGACCGCATTCTTTTAGTACTTTCCTTAGCAACACTAAATACTTGACCCAGAAGATTTGCGCGCAACTTTCCTTACCAATCAAATTTAAAACTATCATATATAATCTGCCAGTCCATTGTATACTTCCCCAGAATCTTGACGTTCGAAATTGTCTCTTGTTTGCGCGGAGGTTTGTTGTACTTGCCAATCATCAAGCAATCAGCTCGCTTAAAAAACATCATTTACCTGTGTGGTATACAATTTTATTATCAAACTACTTAAAGTATTGTACAAATAACACGCAAATAGAGTACAAATATCCTACGATATTGTTGGTTATTTTGTTCTGTTAAAAAACCTATTTGATCAGTCGGCTGCGCATGCTAGCTTCTCTATTCCCTTTGCTTTTCCAACCTTATGGGAAATGAGCGGAAAGATTTAGAAGAAAAAAAAGCAGTTGGACAATAAATGACTTACTAGACGTTTTGGTGTGTATCATCGCTGAGTATTTTAAATTGTTGTTTGCATCGTGACTCACCCTACAAAATACGGCACAACTCGTGAAAATACTCGGCGACACTACACACCAAAACGTCCAGTAAGATATATATCATCTCTATTATAGTTGGTCGTTACAGTACACTTTGGTTTTCCTTTTCAATCAGCCAAATTCTCAATTAATCATTATTTATTGCCTACGAGGGTGGGGAAGGGAAGGGCGCTGGAGGATTTTGGTTGTGTTACACGATAAAAACTACGTGATGCCCCATAAAGTTCCATAATATTCTTATGTTCCCCAGACTGTAGAAATTTGACTTATAATAAAGGGTCTCCCTCTTTACACACTGTTGACGATAAATGATTCCGCTCTGTTCCAGCTAAAAACCACGTAATCCTCCCAAAATACTCCGACGCTCCCCTCCCCCTTCGCCTCCCCAGCGATAAATAACAACTTGTCCCTTTAAAAAAACCTACTTTGTCATTTGTTTTGTTTTATTCTCAGATCTTATCGCTCAGCAAGAGTAAATTGGCAAAGTTTTCAGCAGGACAAGTGATTGACCTCATATCAAATGATGTCCAACGGATTGAGACAGCACCTGTTAAGTTTTTTTTTCTGTTTTCAGCCGCCCTTCAAATCATGGTAGCCACGTTTCTACTCGCGTATCTGATTGGCTGGCAGGCACTCATGGGAGAGATATTTCTGTGTCTTCTTGTACCCTATTACGTTGAGATGTCCTCTGTCTACGCTGCACTGCGTCTGCGCGCAGCAGCGGAAGCTGATCGACGAATTTCTTTGACGAACCAAATGGTTTCTGGGATACGTGCTATCAAAGCACGTGCGTGGGAGGATGATTTCAGAGGAAAAATAAAACATACACGAAAGTAGGGGGAAATTTTTTTTTACCTACTGCAATAGCTACGCATCGTAACTAGTGTGTTTACGACGTGATACTATCTGCTTACCGGTTGGGAGACCATAACAAACGTTTGTCATTGAAATAATGAACCAGGGCGAGAACTTATTGAACCATTTTGTTGGACATTTTGTTAAGATCTTACGCAGGTTTTAACGCTGGTGAGCTGACAAAATGGAATATACTTTTAAATAGATTACTTTGAATTGTATGCTTTGTTATCATTTTAGGTCATATGATCATACTCTAGAGAAGTTTTTCTTTCAAATTTCACAAATTATGCGTGCATGCACGTGAATGAGAGGAAATTTGAAAGAACCAGTTCACTAGAATATCATCACATGACCTGAAATGGATACAAAAAAAACATACACGCTATAGAGATTCATGTAAACAACATCCTCTATTTGGAGCGAAAATGTGCACGGATAACTGTCCGCAGATATTGTCTGTTCCTAGATTCGAACAGTTTTTCGAGAGCCAAGCTGGAGGTAAAATTTCAGTATCGAGGGACAGATAATTTCCAAGGAAGAATATACGAACATATTTTTGCGCAAATAGAGGCTATTGTGTTTGTTATCCTTCTAATATTTTGCCAAACGCGTAAAAAAATGCGCACGAATAGCTTGTTGTTCGCTGCGTGAGATGTTTTCTTCTGACTGTTCTTTGGTACGACGTAATGAAAAGAAAATACATTTCCCTTCTTCTGTAAAAGTAACTAAACGCTCTCTGATCTTGTTTTAAGTTTTAAACGATGAGTTATCGGATTAGACGTAAGGTTTGAACAGTGGGGAATATCACACGGGTGTTATCGGATATCCCCCAGTTTTAGCTGAGGAGTATTCAATTACGTGATGCGTTTATAGACCAATCGCACGCGAATAAAGTATTTGATGAATCATAATGCATGTTATAATCCATCAAATACTTTTGCTCGCGCGCCATTGGTCTAAACGCGTCACGTGACCGAATATTCCTCAATTTTCAAACCTTGCGTTGTGTACGATTAAAGTCTCCGTTTTAAATTCATTTCAAGACGAAAGAGAATTTCGGTGGTATTTCAGGGGAAGGGACAGGTTTATTTGTTCATAAAGTAGTACCAGATATGATCAAAAAGTTAGCATTCCATACAGTAAATGGTAACCTGCTCGTAAACATTTTGTCCTGCACGTTCCAAAAATATTTTAAGACCATGAAACAATAGCACCCATTTGGCGCCAAAATTATGCTTCTGCTCTTTTCTTTGGATATTACCCAAGATAATGTTCGCGGACAAATTTCTAAGCATATTTTCATACCAAATGGAGGCTATTATTTATGTCAGGGTTTGATGGAATATAGGTATTTGACCAATCAGAGAGCGCGCAGTTCGTTAGCTCTTTAAATTTGCCTGTCCGACAGCAACAATGCTTTTTTCTTCTTTCAGACGGGAAATCAGCATCATCCGTAAGAAAAGTGCTATTCTCTCGGGTTTGGCTGCCTTGACGTATACTTCAATACCAGTTCTGCTGTCTGTTATTTCTCTGCTACTGACTGGTCAGCCTCTTACTCCTGTCAATGCTTTTATGCTCCTGATGTTCATGAACCTGTTAAGACAAAATTTTTGCCTTACTATTGGGTTTCATGTGTTGGGAACATATGAAGCATTTGTGTCATTTGGCAGAATAGAAGATTTTCTTAATATTTCAGAAGATTTATCGTCGATGTTGGGAAATCAGTGTATGGAAGACAAATGTGGAGCGGTAGAGGAAAAGTTAATTAATTTACGGAACGATTTTACATTTATGGGCGGCCAGTCGAAAAAATCAAAAGAAGAACTTGGTACCGATCAGAGGGTAAACTCTTCCGAGCCAGGAACTCTCTATGTGTCCAGTTTAACGTTAAAGGAAATGAAAAGGAAAAATGAATTTATTCTTCAAGATGTGGAATTCTTTTCTCAATCAGGAACCTTGACAGTCGTTACCGGGCCAGTAGGCTGCGGCAAGTCAACTCTTCTCTCAGCGATCGCTGGCGAGATGTCAGCCATAAGTGGGACGATACGTCGTCATGGAACTTTTGTGTATGCGCCACAAGTAGCCTGGGTGTTTTCTGGAACCTTAAGGGAAAACATTATATTTGGGGCGCCGTACGATAAACCAAGGTATACCAAAGTACTCGAGGCATGCGCCCTCTCGGAGGACTTTCGGCAGTTTCCGAACGGTGACGAAACCGTTGTTGGTGAGCGCGGTGCCGTTCTTAGTGGTGGTCAGCGTGCAAGAGTAAATTTAGCACGCGCAGTGTACCTGGATACAGACCTTTACTTGCTGGATGACCCGCTTAGTTGTGTGGACTTCAAAGTTGGTCAGCATATCTTTGAAGAGTGTATCAAGGGTATGCTTGGTGAAAAGACCCGACTGTTAACTTCTCATCAAGAAAAACACATGAAAGATGCTGATCAAGTGATTATACTACACAAAGGTCGCGTATTGGGGAAGGGGACCTTCGCGGAACTTCATGTTAAAGGCATTTTAAATACCACCATCGAACCACTTTACACGAAAATTCTGACAGAGAATAAGTCCAACAACTCCGCAAGGGAGAACGAAGAAAAACGCAGCGATAAGATGCCACTTGCTACTGATAGCAGTGGTCTCGAAATATCTGTTGAAGATCGTGCAATCGGAACGGTGTCAAGCAAGCTCTACTGGGACTACTTCAGAAGTGGTATCCACTCCTTCTTGGTCATTGGGTTTATTTTTCTGTGTCTCTTTACCCAGGGTGAGCCTTAATTATTGAAGCTAAACTCGTACCCAGATCCTACCGTGTAGCTTTAACTGAAATCACTTGGCCGTGGGAGGTGTGGGTACGAAACTATACTGAAGTAGCTAGGACTTAGGGACCATTCATTTTTATCGCCTTGAGGAGGGGGGGGGGGGGGCGACTGATAACCCCCCGTTCCCCCTGAAGACCATGTGATTTCCTCAAAATCCTCCCCTTCCCTCTTCTTCACCCGGTTACCAGTCCCTTAAACATGACAAGTCCCCTGGTGTTGTGAAAATTTCTTGGAAATGAAGTATCTAAGTAAGCATAAGTGTTTTAATTACTCGACCTCTATTTATCCCTTTTTCTAACATTGTTGGTTGCCCCTGATGTTTGGTTGTCCTTTTTGACCTGGAAACTTCCAATAGAACAGAGAGACAAGACAAATCTAACCATTTATGGGTTTTTCGTCGCGACCTCTTTCATGTTCGGCATCATCAGAGCCTACATTTTCTTTTTGGTCTGTCTCAGATGCTCTGAGCGTCTTCATGACAAAATGGTTGTGGCTCTTTTACAAGCACCTGTTCTATTCTTTGACTCAAATCCTGTGGGTAGAATCCTGAATCGCTTCTCTAAAGACGTGGGTTACATGGACGAATTATTACCGCTAGACTTTCTACTTTCAATAGAGTTGGTGTTGCTGTTTCTCTCATCTGTTATCGTGCCTTCTGTTACGAATACTTGGCTGTTGTTCGTCACTATTCCAGTGACGCTAACAGTTCTTTACTTCGCAAGATTCTACTTGAAAAGTTCCAGGGAACTGAAAAGGTTGGAGTCAGTATGTCGAAGCCCAGTGTTCTCCCACATAACAGAGACTCTTGAGGGGCTGGACACGATTCGAACAAGAGGAAGACAGTCAGACTTTATTGAGAAGTTTTACAGGTAAGTTCGTGCATCTTTCTTATGTAAACTTAAAAGGTAAGCGTGCGATTCGTTCACGTGCAAGTCAAGCCTGGTTCGCAAAGCGTGCGTGGTGTAGTGGGCCACAATTCGCATCTCGAACTAAAATCTATCTTTCTCCCCCTTTTCCACTGCGTTACTCAGACTAGAGAAAGTGCTACGCGGACTAAACATTCGAACTGTAGAGAGTATACGTCAATTTATTTAATGAATATCAAACGACTCGCACGGCCTTGCGCAAACAGTCCCATAGAAAACCATAGCAAGAGCTGACGGGTGCAGGGCCGAACGAAGAGGTTTGACGTGAGCCAGTCCTGAGCCAAATTTTCAACACTCATATGATAAGATACTTATTGACCAAGTTTGGCGACTTAGTCAATTTGTGCATATTATTTCCCTTTGGACAGCTACCAAGACACTCATGGCCAGTCTTTTATCATGGTGATGGCGAGTGGCAGATGGTTCGGTGTCCGCCTGGATGCGATCATTTCTCTGTTCATCGGTTTAGTGAGTTTGGTGGCAGTTTTGATATCTCAAGATGCTGGTAAGTGAATTTATAACCTACGTGCAGGCCTTCATTTCGAGCGCTAAAGAACACGCCTTACTTCGTCCACGAATACGATAGAGGTGTTGAGCGAAGCCAGCCTTCAAGAGATCTGCATGAGGTCTTTGTCCTTATTCTAGTGCCCAATCCCTTGTAGACTTCTCGCTGGCTGGGTTTGCTCATGGCCTAGAAACAAGTCAAACAAGTAATTTTCCCTTTCACTTCCTCCATAAGGGCGAAACTAAATCAGTCTGAGTTTGATGAAGATTTTCCCGTATAAATGTGCATAGAACACCAATAGCATGTCGCTGCAACATGTTCGCGTGACAACATGTGTCGTATGGAGTGGTCCATAGTTCTACTGCTTAGGAACCGGTCCTAATTCTTCGCAGAGGGGTGGGTAGCGATCTGACCTCCCTCCCATGGCTCTATAGTTCTCTCATTCCTCCCCCATACATTGGCAGTTAATTTCTGTACTGCCTGATACGACTTATACTCGATCTGTTGTCGACGACTTGTCTTCCCTCCACTCTCCTTGAAAACCATGTGATACCGCCAATATTCTCCTCCTCCTCGCTCTCTCAAAGTGCACTGATATTGCGAACGACGTGCTACTGACAAAGGTTAGACTTCATTACCTCACGAACACCTTCAGTTGAGAACGACTATCGATAGTTTTTCGATGACGTTAGAAAAGCTGTCATCGATCATCTATAATCTCATGGTTTGTTAATTTTTCTTTTTCTTTTTTTCTTATTAGTTTCTGCTGGACTTGCTCTTGCTTACGTCATTCAAACAGTGGCTCTGACGCAATACGCTGTCAGAAAATCATCAGATGTCGAGAATTTTATGACGTCAGTTGAACGAGTTATGGCCTACACCAAACTTGACTCAGAGCCTGGATACAAAGTGGACAGAATTCCCCCCGAACTATGGCCTCGCGAAGGAAATATCATATTCCGCAATGTGTCGTTAACTTATTACCCGGAGGGTCCTCAAGCACTGAAAAGCATCGATCTTGACATCAAAGGAGGCTCAAAGATTGGTGTTGCAGGACGCACGGGCGCGGGGAAATCATCTTTTGCAGCAGCTCTATTGCGCATGCCCGATCCTGACGGAGAGATTCTGGTGGATGGAGTGAAGATAAAGAATATCAGTCTCCAAGCATTTCGAGGATGTATCTCCACCCTTGGCCAAATTCCGCTGCTTTTCAGTGGATCGTTGCGGAGAAATCTGGATATTGTGCAGCGCTTCCAAGATGCGGATCTGTGGCAAGTTTTAGAGGATGTGCAGCTGAAAGGTTTCGTGGAAAGTCTTGAGGGACAATTGGATTACGAATTGTCGGAAAATGGTGCAAATGTCAGTGTAGGAGAACGGCAGTTGATTTGTTTGGCTCGTGTGCTGTTGCAGAAGAACAAGATCATCATCTTGGATGAACCCACTGCACACGTGGATCCAGGGACAGAAGAAACAATCTGGAGAGTGGTGCGAGAGAAACTGAAAGACTGCACAGTAATAACTATAGCTCACCGTCTGAACACCATCCGACACTGTGACAAGGTTCTTGTTTTCAAGGAGGGAGGGGTGGTGGAGTCCGGAACGTTAGACGCGTGAAGACTGGAGCACAGCTGTCAAACACTGCACATGCACGAGAGTTTGAAAACAAAAAGAGGGATTTCGGAACGTGTGTTTAGCGTAAAGTAAGGAAAAGAAGAAAGAATTCCTAGCTATTCCAATACGTGAGACAAATGAAAAAGGATTTTGGAGAAAGATTAAGTATTGGCTTCATTTTATTGTGAGATATACCAACTGTTTTTAACGTGGACTCTTCGTTTCGGAACCTTTTTTCTACCCTTGCTACTCAGTTTACTTTCCACTGTAAACATAGACCTGTGATCGTTACAAATATTTCGTATGGCTCTGGTTCTTCCTTTTTTCACACATTTCCCTCGTTATTGACCTGCAACTCCGCTATGAACACAACAAAAAATAACTACAGCCAGCACGGCCAAGTTTACGGACGTCTTCATCAGGCCACCGTGCAAAGTGTAAAAAAAAAGTACGAGTATGTAAACTAACACATAGTGGGTAAAGTCCAGAACAACAATGCGTATAAGTCTTGGTCTTAGAAACTTCGAGCTTTCCTTAGAAATTGCGAAAAACTACGTCTTATGTGATTTCTCCATTTTCACAAGGGCAGAGTATCCATCATAGTGCACAGGTGCAATCATTTGACCGCTGTGTTGAAGACTGAGGTGTTTTTACGTCTCCTAGATAGTCGTGATATGTACCTTGTGTTTTTGTTGTTTGGTGTCGTTGAATCAACTCCAAAGTAATCAGTCAGGCCAGATACGTAGCTGCTTGAGCATTATTTTTCTTTGTCCTATGCTCGTGACAAGACGAAAAACACCTTTCTCTATTTCCGGCTTAACCGAAACTTACGATCTTTCTTATTCCATTTACAAACATGACGATATATCGACATCGCTGGCCCTAGCATTATGAAGGACGCGTAAAATACATAAACTTCGAGAGTTGAAGGTCTCTTAAATCCATTTTTTTCAATTACTGAATAAAGCATAATGGAAACTTTTGAAGATAATTTTCGGCGTTATGTTTCGGTGACACTCAAAAGCATAAATGCTCAAATCTTCGAGCATAACTTATGTGACCCTACTGGACAGACTCAGTAACGGGGAGCGAAAGAGCGTTTTGGCGACTTTTGACCAATTTTCAAAATGGCATAAAAAAGAGTTAGAGCGTATTGAAACGTAACAAAGGCTGGGGGGAAGGAAAATATCGTCAAAACAAGTCTTCTTATTAAGTTATTTCTCCAAGTGAGGTCCAGCTGAAAGGATATGTGAAACAGAATCGCATCTTTAACGAAACCAATTTAACGCTACCTTTGCAATGATTTTTGCACTACTTTAATTTTTAGGGTGTGGCAGGGGCAAGTGCACCTCTCACCCCTCACGATCATCTTGTTTTCTCTTTTAGATCTAAGCCCTCAGAAAATACAATAGGTGGTTTTCGTATTTGTATAGTATTTTTTGTATTTGGAGATACAGTCAAATGTAACTTCTCTGCTTCCTTGGTAGAGTGATTCATTTATTCTTGGCATACTGGGCAGTCTGGTTTATTGTGGAAAAAATGTAGGACTTCAATAGCCGAGACCTCATCCACACTAATGACGTTTTGCTTGAAAACGAATTTAATACTTTCTGACACGTTTTTTGCCTATCATCCGCTTTAGAGCGCCTATAAACGCTGATGAAAACGGTTTCAAAACTGAAGCTTTTTTTTGTGAAAACAGAACGGGAAATCTATCACCTTGGCTTTCACCTCTATTTGCGATTTTGTCTGCTCTAGATTTACGATAGACGTGTTCAAATGAAAGTGAAGTGAATTCGGAGCCATTTGAGTGGCAATATTTTCCTATCATTTTGCTTGAGACAGAAGAGGACACTCATGGAAATGCGTTTGCGTGGTCGGATCCTTGATCTTTCCTTCTGCAGAGCCCTGGTATGGTAATGTGTCTCCTTCCATTCTCTGTTTATGCCCCGTTAAAGGCGGGAAGAGCTCATTGCTAACGGTCACCATGGCGACGGCTGGAGCTCCTTGGTAGCCGTGTCAAAAATCACGTGACGTGCAAATTTCGGCGGGAATTCGTTGAACGTTCGAATTGTGGCTGCCATATTGAATTATAATAGGGAAGAAAAAAACGTATTTTATGGTTCTTTTTAATGCTTATTTCGAACTGAAACTGGTAAGTGTCGAAGAATAATGCATTTAGTATTCGTTTGTATATTTATTAGACGTAAAGCTCCGTTCTTATTGCTTTTCTCAGTGACAAACTTCTATCCGCTTATAACAAAGTAACACAATACCAGTTGAGTTCGCTTGGCGTCGTTTTCCTCGCTTCGTGAATCAATCAAAATTTTAAAATTTGTCCAGTTTTCATGCTGAAAAGCTTGTATTTTGCTCTACATCACGTTTTATAGTGTCGTGTTGAGTTTAAATCTTGCAGAGAAGCTTGTTTGCGAACGCAAGCTTTTTGTCAGGCCGACTTGGCGAAATTTGCAAATTGTCACTAATTTGCCTCGAGATACCAATTTTGGGGCAGTTTAAGCGACAATTTTTGGCTAAATTTGCTTCATGAAGATATATCTGTGGCCAGCAATGTAAATTAGCGCTTTTGATTACCAGAAAAGATGTCTTGTCAACCGTTAAGGTCGAAACAACTCCTGTAACCGAAAAACGTTAACCTGGTTATCGTGACCGAAATTGAAATTTACCACTCGTGCGTTTGTTATATTTTTACTGTTTATCGTGAGTCGAACCTTTTAAAATTAGTCGAGAGTAATTGTGATAAATTTTATGTTCCTTCAGTCTCGATGAAATGTCTTTTCCGAAGTTCTGTAAGGGAACTGCAGCTAGTTCATTTCACAGTTTACATATAATTCAAATTTTCAAATAACGAAACAGGTCTCAGAAGTTATTTTGAGGGACAATTTTGGCGTTTGTTTGTGTCACAAATAATGATCGATGAACGTTTTAGCGATACTTCACAGAATGAAAATATTAAATGAAATTTGTTGAAACTTCTGTGGCGATGGTTCCTGGTTGAGTCTAGTTTGGAGTCAAATCCCTCTGAACTAATACTTTCATTATAAGAGGTCCTGTTGAACAAATTTCGGTTTCTTGGTAATGGATGTGCATGTTTGAACATGTGTATTTTTTGTTAACATGCAGATATTAAAGAAGTAATTGCTATTTTTGGCAGTTTTTGTCAACAATTATTGGTGATAACCAAAGTGCTTTACAGCTAAATAACTTAGGCCATTGATTGAAATTAATAGAACCTCCAAGTTGTAATGTGACATTCGGTATTTTCCAATGACCACAAAATTCAAACATTCATAAATTATTTGTTTTGTTTAATGGATCAAGGGCTATTTTTGAAGATGTATGACTTTCAAAAAGGATCCTCTTATCTCTATACACCTCTATCAGTATGCATCTTTGCTGTACTGTTCTCTACACATGTCCCAAAATGCTGACAAGGAGAATTTGTTTTAACAATCAAGAGCTTCTCTATGTGGTGATCATTTCCTTAATTCTCGTGACCTTCATGTGTGATTCTGGGGAGATTTTGCAAGGAGAAATTGGATGCTAGTCACTCTAAGAGGTGAAAGGGTTAAAAATTGTATTTTTGCTGAATAAAAAACCTCAATACCCATTCTTGAATTATGTGAAACCATTTTTGGTGAGGATGTGTATAGTACAAAGAAACATGAAACCCTTTTGGTAAACAAAATCATGATTGAACGAAAAATTCTTAGGGAGACTTGTGGGAAACTAAAACAAAAATGTTTATGGCTGGTTTCCTTTTGAGGAAGTAACAAGAAACAGTCTCCTATCTCAAACAATCTGACAACCCAGCAATGGACTTTTTGATAAGAAGAGAGGAGATAAATGTTTGCAAAGTTAGATGAGTATATGAGAGCATGATGAGATGAGAAAAATCTGAAACATTTATTAGCGTGGTTTGGTTTATAAAAGTGAGCAAGGTTAATCACTTGACACCAGGGTATTTCTTTGAGGTTATTTGTGATGCATTAGAGATTGAAGAATTCTTTGGTTATATAAGTGTAGAATTCTTTGGCTTAATCTCAATGACCTGAGCTATTTTTTATTCAGATGTGGAGCTGTGTCTGTTACTTTTACACTCCTCTTCCGTCAATCATTTCTTATCAAAAGCTTACATTTTCTTGCTGAGAGAGCAAGTAGAAAGTCTTGTAAACAGTGAATGGAAGTTGACAAGTTGGTAGGCTTTTGGAGAATTAACAGGAATCTGGGCAAGTCTTGAGAGTTACCTGTTTGAATGGCAATTTTTTTCCAACATTTTTGAGTAATGCTCGCAAGCAAAGTGATAAAGAAAGAGCATAGGTTTCAGCAATTTGTTAAAATCAAAATTCATATGGAAGTAAAATTGCTAGAAGATACCTCAAGTAATAATTATTTATTCTTTTCTTTCAGACGGAACACATGATATAGCCCCTTTTGCTCTACTAGCATCATGTTTTATCATCAATTCATCTTGGCCAAAAAGGCTCCACTGGCCAGAGTATGGCTTGCTGCTCACTGGGAGCGTAAGCTTAGCAAGGCACTGGTCTCTGAAACAGATCTCCCCTCATCAGTCGAGAGTATCATCTCACCCAAAGTCAAGCTTGCCTTACGAACATCTGGTCATCTACTTCTTGGTGTTGTCAGAATATACTCCAGGAAAACTAAATATCTGTTGGCTGACTGCACAGAAGCATTTGTAAAAATCAAGATGGCATTCCGCCCAGGAGTGGTTGATTTGCCTGAAGAGGGAAGAGAGCTGGCATTTGCAGCAGTTACCATGCCAGAAGTTTTTACTGACCTTGATATGACGCTGCCTGAACTCAAGTGAGCTGATGTTTTTTTTTTTATACCTTCTCTCTATGATTGCTTTTTACTGTAGTATTTGAAAAGGAGTTTATCATTGGAACACTCTGAATAACTTGGAATCATGTTTCTGATAAGAAAATTTTTGAGCTATCCTTGTAATTTTTTGGTAAAAATGTCAAAATTAGCCATTGTGTTGCTAACAAGAATTCTTCAAATTTATATGAAAAACTTGAATTTGGTTATGTCTATATTAATAAGATTTGCTTATCTCAAACAAGTTCTCCTTGTCAGTACCAAACGAAATGTATAAAATGGAATATAGAGAATATGGATGTTGATGCAAGGGTGTAAGGGTTTAAAGTCCTTGAATTTTAAAAGCATGGTATGAAATAGTACAGCATCTTTATAAACAGCTATTTTTTTTTCATTGCAGTGAGGTTGAAATTCATGCTCAGTTCACCCTTAATCAAGGAAGAATTGAAGAGATTACAATGAAGGAAGACATAATCACGAACAATTTCATTGGAGATGATGGTTTTGGAGACATAATGTTTGAAGGGGAGCTGGAAACCGAGATGTTCAGACACCAGGCTTCCATTGAGGAACCTCTTAACAAGACAAATGACATCTCTAAACTGAGCACTATTGATGAACCAAAGGCAATCACAGACTCAACTTTAGAAAGGAGCAGGATAGGTATTGTGTTATGTGTTTAATTAGTTATATTAAGGTGCATTGGCATCTTGTTTCTGTGTATGAAAATGCTTCAAGATAAAAATTTTTCAAGGTGTTGTTATGTGGTGAAAGTATGTCACACCTTTAAGAAATCACCCCTATTTTGACCGACATGTGCATGAGTTAATTCCTTAAAGTCAATCTCGCAGCCAGGCAAAATGCCTTAATTCTATGCTGCACCAGTACCCTTGGTACAGTATAGGGGAGGAGAGAGGCAAGTGACAACAGGGTTCGTACAAAGTCTTAAATTCTTGAAAAAGTCTGGAAATTTGCGAACTACTTTTCCAGACCTGGAAGAAGTATGGAAATTAAAGGCAAAGTCTTGAAAAATGGGATTAAGTCTGGAATTTTTTCTTA